TTTCCTTCATCCTGGGGCCCACAGTACTGGAGTCCTTGTGAAAAGTCTCTGAAGAGACTTTGTGCTGGGTCACATCCTGAATGTCAGTCAGAGTTGTCCCTGGGATCACTGGCTGGTGGTGGCTTTCTGCTCCTTCCACCTGCATTCTATTGCAAAAGTTTAGACACCCTGTTGGGGGGGCAGGGCCTCATTGGTCTCAGGCCCTATTGTGTAGGGCAAAATCAGTCCAAATTTTGCTTCCAAATCAGGAAAATGAGCTGTGATGTACACCTTGTCTCTCACTCTTGGATCTGAGGCCACTGAATTTTGTAAAAAGTCTGGCCACCAGACTACATTGTGACTCTCTACCTATGCAGCACCTCTATGATACTGTGGGTGGGGCTGGAGGAAAGATGGTGTCACAAGTCACTGGGGCTGAGCTATATGCTTTTTGTGATTTTCTGTTGGTCCCCTGTGTACCTGTTAGAACAGTGACATCTGAAGAAATAATTTATTTATAAGGCTTATAGGTCATGAGGCTGTCTATAGGTGTCAGAAGGGTCCAGAGAAATTGAAGGGTAGTCTGTTTGGGGGAAGTTGGAGGGTCCAGACTTTGGAACTCATTGACTCCATTTCCATACTCCAAAATGCTTCTCATCCTGTCCTAGGTCAGTTTGGGCTGTCTTCTGCACCACAGTGCAAAGTACAGTTAAGCAACTTGGCCTAAAAGGGATGAGGCAAATGAGGTACTGTAGAGGAGATGGGACTGCAAGCACACAGGTTTTCTAGGAAAAATTGCCAAAGAAATCTTTCTTATGTGCTTACTATGTATTAAATACTGGAAGTTGAAAAGTTCCTATTTTCTTTAAGTTAGTTTTTTTATTTTTTTTTTGGTTGGCCGTGGGGCTTGAACTCTGGGCCTGGGCACTGTCCTTCAGCTCTTCAGCTCACAAGGCGGGCACTCTACCACTTGAGCCACTTCTGGTTTTCTGGTGGTTTATTGGAGATAGGAGTCTCACCGTCTTTACTGCACGGGCTGGCTTTGAACCTCGATCCTCAGATCTCAGCCTCCTGAGTAGCTAGGATTACAGGCGTGAGCCACCAGCGCCCGGCTTAATATTTTATTTTATGTTTTTGATGGGTCATGGGGCTTGAACTCTGGGCTTGGACGCTGTCCAAGGTGAGCACTCTACTGCTTGAGCCACAGCACCACTTCTGGTTTTCTGTGGTTTATTGGAGGTAAGAATCTCACAGACTTTCCTGCCTGGGCTGGCTTTGAACCATGATCCTCAGATCTTAGCCTCCTGAGTAGCTAGGATTACAGGTGTGAGCCACCAGTGCCCGGCAAAGTTAATATTTTAATGCATATCTTTTCAAACCCTAATCCTTTCAGATCTCAGCCTCCTAAGTAGCTAGGATTGCAGGCATGTTACCAGTACTCAGATGCATTTTCCTAATTCTACAATGGATGTCTCAGTTTTATCAAGAGTTCAACCTCTTCCACCACCATAACACCACAAAATATATTTGTTAAAGCATATTAAGCTGGCGCTGGTGGCTCACACCTACAATCCTAGCTACTCAGGAGGCTGAGATCTGAGAATCACAGTTCAGAGCCAGCCCAGGCAGGAAAGTCTGTGAGACTCTTATTTCCAATCAACCACCAGAAAACTGGAAATGGTGCTATGGCTCAAGTGGTAGAGTGCTCGCTTTGAGCTGAAGAGCTCAGGGACAGCGCCCAGGCCCAGAGTTCAAGCCCCATGGCCAACAACAACAACAAAAATTGGAATCATGCCAAGCTATTTTTCAGGCCACTATTTTCTTGACATTTACATGGACTAAACACAATGCCAGGTGGTTTCCCTCCATGTATTATCATAGTACTGTTCATACACAACCATTTCAATCCTCAGAGTCAGTTATGTTACTCGTACTTTGGAGATACACAAGCTCAGAAAAACTAGATAATATGCTCAGGATTGTTCATCTTTGGAAGTCCAGCTTTTGGCCTCTAGCCTAGATTGCTCAGCTACAGCGTTAGTGAAAGGATTGGATGAGGTCATACAAATAAGAGTGCCAAACACTGCATCTGGCTCCAAGCACAGGGCTGCTTCATCTACATTAGTTCCCTTCTCTGTGACAATTGACCATTGATAAATTGTGGCAAAGCAAACTGATCACTCTGGGGGTAAAAAGTGTCCCTACTGTGACAGATAGGACTGGGGGACTTGTTAGAACAGAGGAGAAAAGGACATCCAGTCCACAGAAAGATCTGAGGGCCTGGGACTGTGGCCCATACATTCCAGGGTATTCTTTTTTATTTTTACTTTTCTGCTACTGGGGCTTGGCCTCAGGGCCAGGGTTTTCTCCTTTAGCTCTTTCCACTCAAGGCTTGTCTTTCAACATTTGAGCCATAGCTCCACATCGGGCTATTTCCTAGTTAACTGAAGATAAGAGTCTCACAGACTTTCCTGCCCAGGCTGTCTTTAAATTGTCATCCTGATATCCCAGCCTCCTAAGTAGTTAAGCTTATAGTTATGAGCCACTGGCACCAGTTTCCAGGTTACTCTTCTTCAAGAGTATTTTATAACTTCATCGGACCCTGAACCTTAACTTGTAGCTCAGCGTACAATATAGAATCACCCTATAAACAAGGAACTACATCCCAACTTCCAGGCTGGACATGGTGTTGAATGCCTGTAATCCAAGCACTCAGAAAGTACAGAGCAAGTTGAAGTCAGCTTGGGCTACATAGCAAAATGTTGCCTCAAAAAACAAACAGATAACCATATAGGACAAGGTCTCCCAGACCCATATGTTGATTTTTCTTTTCATGTTTTCCCTCTTTTCTGGGAGAGAAGGAGAATCTTAGGGACAAGTCACTCTGTGGACAAGGAAGGAGCTGATACTTCTGCAATGAGACTTGCCCCAGAGTTCTCTTGTGGATTCGTCTGGATTGCCTCTTTCCAGGGAGCCAGCACAGAAAGCTAAGTTCCATCCTCATTCTCTGTTCCAACCTATGAACTTGTTGTGGTACTAACCACAATAGAATTGTTTGATGGTCATCTTCTCTATTAGGTAGGAAACTCCACTATAAAATCTTGGACATTGGGGCTGGGAAGGTGGCTCAATGGTAGAGTGCTCACTTCGCATGCATGAGGCCCTGGGTTCGATTCCTCAGCACCACATAAGCAGAAAAAGCTGGAAGTGGTGCTGTAGCTCAAGTGGTAGAGCGCTAGCCTTGAGCTGAAGAGCCGAGGGACAGCGCCCAGGCCCAGAGTTCAGGCCCCATGACCAACAAAAACAAAAATAATAATAAAATAAAATCTTGGACATGTACCTGATATACAATAAACTATGTAGACATCTGATAAGTGAATGAATGAATGCTCCACCAATTGTCATGTCTCAAGGGAACCCATAGTTGCATTGTTTTGTGCCAATCACTTGAAATATGTGTTCTCTGCTAGGCTCAGTGGTATATGCTTGTAATCTCCCCATTCTACAGGCTAAAGCAGGAGAATCACAAATTCCTAACTAATCTAGACTATATAGCAAGTCCTTGTCTTAAAAAAAGAAAAACAAAATCCATGCTCCAAAGGCTTAAAATCTACAGGTTTCTCCTCATGTAAATATTTAGACAAACACCATACTTTTTAGGAAACAGGGGAAATCCTGTATATTACAATCTTCATATTCTTCATTTTACCAAAATATTCAAAATGGAGCCATAGTCTATGGGAGACTTCAAAGCACATGGAATCCTTGGACAAATTACAGGACTCAAATAATCTGAAGTTGAATGTCAGTAATATAGTCTGTGCTTTGCCCAGGCCCTAAATTCAATCCTCAGCATGCACACACACACACACACACACACACACACACACACACACACACAAGTTGGAATGTTCTAATCCTATCTGCCAGCTCTGCTGTGTGGCCTCTGGTGCATGACTTCCTCTCCTGGGCCTGGGCCTTAATTCTCTTCTCTATAAAATCAGGGATGGTGTTGAGCGAGTAATGGAAGGTACAGGCCTTATATGAAAATAAAAGCAATTGAGCTAGACACGAATGGCTCATGATTACTATCCTAGCTACTCTCAGGAGACTGAGGTATAAGGACTTAGATTCTGAGACTCTTATCTCCAATTAACCAGCAAAAAGAGGGAAGTAGAGGTGTGGCTCAAACGGTAGCGAGGTGGCAGTGAGCCATGTGAGAGAACATGAGGCCCTGAGTTCAAGCCCTAGCACTGGCACAATTTTCTTCAAGGCAAATTGTGTTTGACTACTTACCCTGTTGTGCATAATGGAACAGTGTCCTTTCCAAACACTTAGGTGTTAAGAGACAGAAGTGGATGCAATCTGAGGAGGCTGAGGTTCTGTTTGTAACCAGTAAGGCTGAATGTGCTCCCTCTCTGGAGATTGGATAGGGACACAGGGATGGTGGGCCTGAAAGGGGCTTTGTCACACTAACGGCTTGCCCAAATATGTTGTGTGTGTGTGTGTGAGAGAGAGAGAGAGAGAGAGAGAGAGAGAGACGTATCTTTGTTTCCATGTTTACAAAAGTGAAGATTCCAAATACACGAGGCTTCACCAAGTTTGATACATTCCCCCCCTTCCCTAATCAAAAGCAATACACCCTTCGGCCACCTTCAGACAACTGAGGGAGAAACAGCTAGGAAGGTGAGCTCCCGTCAGGGCCTCAATTCAACCTTCCTTGGAAGGTACGAGAGGGTGAGGTCCCCCTCCAGAGCTTTCTTAGGGAGGGCAGTGGGTTGACTGGATACAAGCAAGCATCAATGCCCTAAGATGCCTCCTGGCTTCTGTCCAAGCAGCTGGCAGGTTCATCCCTCTCCCAGGGTCCTCCACAAACACCACTTCCGGCCCTCCTGCCTCAATCTGGGCTCCTCCTGACTGGATTTCTATACTGGCACCTTCCCTTTCCCCTGCAGAGATTTCTCCCTCCCTTCACAACCCTTATTTCAGCCCCTAGGTCTCCCTCCATATCTGTTTCTTGTCCTCTTCCCTTGCTTCTCTTCTCCTAGCCATCCTTCATCAGCACTAGAATGGGTCTCCCTTCCGGTCTCCCAGGCCGGCTGTCTCTCTCCCCTTCTTAGCTGTCACCCCTGCACTTCTTTCTTTGTATTCCTCGCGCCCTCTCCCGGCCTCACCGACATCTCTCCTCCCCCGCCTGGCTCTGGCCTCCCCCTGCCTCCCCATCTTCAGATCAGTCTCCTCCCCCTAGCTCCTCTCCCCTCCCGTCTGCCTCACCCCACTCCCCGCCCGCATGCTAGTGTTTCTTTCCACACTGGGGGTCTCGGTACCTCTCTTTCTCCTCCCCACCTGCCTCATCCCTCACCCCGGGGTTAGCAAGAGCCCTTCCTCCTCTACCTGGACTTCCCCCCTCCACCCCCATCATCGCCACAGACTCTCCTCCCCACTTCTCCTCGCTCCTCTCTGCCCCTTTAAATCTGCCTGGCCCAGCCTCCCCCGTGATGCTGGGATGGAGCAAACATTGATTTGTGCTGGGATGGAATCGGAATTTTGATTTTTTTTTCCTCTCCCAACCAAGGAAGAAAAAAATAATAAAAACACTCCCCTCTTGATAGCCCCTTCCCCCCTTCCCAGCCAGCTCCCAGCTCCTCTTCCCTATCTTCAGCCAAGGCAGATTTTCCCCCTACACTATTCTCATCTCCCCCCACCCCTGCCGCCACTCACCCCCCACCCCACTAGCCTGCTCCTCCAGCTGGGAAGACAAGACAGGGGGCTCTCTCCGCTCCTCCGCCGTCCTTCTCTGGCTGGAGCAGCCTCTCCGGAAGGGGAGGGGGCTTGGCTGGTCCGGGTGAGGTGGGAGTGGAGGTATCCAGCCATGGATGCTGTGCCGGGGAGGCAGCCTGAGCCCCAGCCCACATGGTGAGTAACCTGCCCCCTCCCTTTTGCCCAGCTGCCCATCCCCACCCTCGGCTTTCTCCCTACAGAGCTTCCTCCATCCCCATCCTCTCCCCAAGAGCCATCTACCCACCTGGCTCTGGCCTCCCCGTACCTTCTCCCTTCACCCCTCCACCCCCGTTTGCTAAGAAAACCGGAGGAACGGGGCCGGGGTGGGGGTACTAATGGCAAGAACGCAGGTGGCCTCCGACTCTGCCCAGCCCCCTCCCCCACCCCACTCCCAGCCCCCCGCCATCCACACTAGGCTGGAAAAGTAGGACTCCTGCCTAGGGTTGGGGCCCCAAGTCCTGGGAGGCGCCCTCTACAAGTTGGGGAAGATTGGGGTGGGGGGCGCGGAGGTTTCCCCATCTCCCCAAAGGGAGATGCTGGAAGGTGCTGCCGAATGGGGGGTGGGGTGGGCCAGGGGGCGGTGCTGCTGCTCCACAGCTACCGGCCAGGGAGCGGCGGGCAGAGAGGAGGGGCCTTGCTCTCCACTTGCTCCCCTTTTTCTCCGCAGCCACTCAGGATGAGGGTCCGGCCCTGTCTGCCCGCGCTGGGGCCCCTCCGCCCAGCCCCAGTCTAACTGCCCCCGCCTCCAGGCCGCGCCCGGCCCCCAAGCCCCCAGCCGGCTCTCCAGCCCCAGGATGCGCTGAGCCGCCGGGGGGCTGAGGCCGCGCGAACTACATGCATGTCCCCCGGGGGCAAGTTCGACTTTGACGACGGGGGCTGCTACGTGGGGGGCTGGGAGGCGGGGCGGGCACATGGCTACGGCGTGTGCACGGGGCCCGGCGCCCAGGGCGAGTACAGCGGCTGCTGGGCGCACGGCTTCGAGTCGCTGGGCGTCTTCACGGGGCCCGGCGGACACAGCTACCAAGGCCACTGGCAGCAGGGCAAGCGCGAAGGGCTGGGCGTGGAGCGCAAGAGCCGCTGGACGTACCGCGGCGAGTGGCTGGGCGGGCTGAAGGGGCGCAGCGGCGTGTGGGAGAGCGTGTCCGGCCTGCGCTACGCCGGGCTCTGGAAGGACGGCTTCCAGGATGGCTACGGCACCGAGACCTACTCCGACGGAGGTGCGGGGCGCGGCCCCCTACGGTTTGCTCATCCGCATGAACCTCCCGCCAGCCCGGCCCGCGTGCGCCTTCCCCAGCCCGGTGCCGCCTCTGCGCCCCTCTTTCTGTTCCATGAAGACGCCCCTTCTCAGCCCCCATCTCTCCCACCAGCACCACCCTCAGGCCTCCCTCTGCGACTGTCTCCAGCCTGCACTTCCTTCCCCAATCTAGCTGTGCCTCGCACCTCCCCTGTCTACTGGCCTGTCCTCTCTCCTCTATTTCCTCCATCAGCCTGTACCTCGTGGTCCTGTTTGCCTGTCTTATGTCCATTTTATACACATCCTCCTCCGTCGGCCTGCCCCTTACACTGGCCTCCGGCCTTTCTCACACCCAGGCCTGTCTGTCCCTCCCCCTTTCTCCTGCTCCCTGTCTTTCCTTGGCTCTCCCACACCTTCCAACCCAGACTGGCCTGGCCCCAGCTCCCAAGGCCCTTCCCAGGCTCCACTCCCACCTGACACTTGGGCTTCCGGGGGGGGGAGGGGGTGGATCGCTGGGTTTGAGGGATTCTGACTCTTCCTCCTACTCCTATCCACCGACAGGCACCTACCAGGGCCAGTGGCAGGCCGGGAAGCGCCATGGTTATGGGGTGCGCCAGAGTGTGCCCTACCATCAGGCGGCGCTGCTGCGCTCACCTCGCCGCACCTCGCTGGACTCAGGCCACAGCGACCCCCCGACGCCACCTCCACCCCTGCCCCTCCCTGGAGACGAGGGAGGCAGCCCAGCCTCGGGCTCCCGGGGAGGCTTCGTGCTGGCTGGGCCCGGGGATCCGGACGGGGCGTCCTCCCGGAAGCGCACCCCGGCCGCAGGTGGATTCTTCCGCCGCTCTCTGCTGCTCAGTGGGCTCAGGGCTGGCGGGCGCCGCAGTTCCCTAGGCAGCAAGAGGGGATCCTTGCGTAGCGAGGTGAGCAGCGAAGTGGGCAGCACAGGACCCCCAGGCTCCGAGGCCAGTGGGCCCCCAGTTCCTGTGCCACCCACCCTCATCGAGGGCTCAGCCACTGAGGTATACGCCGGTGAATGGCGTGCCGATCGGCGAAGTGGCTACGGAGTGAGCCAGCGCTCCAACGGGCTGCGCTACGAGGGCGAGTGGCTGGGCAACAGGCGGCATGGCTACGGGCGCACCACCCGCCCCGACGGCTCGCGCGAGGAGGGCAAGTACAAGCGCAATCGCCTGGTGCACGGAGGACGCGTCCGCAGCCTCCTGCCTCTGGCCCTTAGGCGGGGCAAAGTCAAGGAGAAAGTGGACAGGGCTGTGGAGGGTGCCCGTCGAGCCGTGAGTGCTGCCCGCCAGCGCCAGGAAATTGCTGCTGCCAGGTGGGCATCTGGTGTACAGGGTACAGAGATAGGGGAGGGGTGTCCAAGGGAGGACTAAGACTCCAGGCCTAGGACTTGGTGGGGAACAGTAGGCCTAAGGCCAGGCAGTGGTAGTCTTGGAATATGGGCTGTTTATATCTGAGGCTACAGGTGGGTGTGGGTGTAACTGTGGGTGGCCGGGTATTGCAGGGAAGTGGTGTAAGACTGTGTGTCTCAATGTCTTTTGTGTGGAGATGTGTATCTATGTGGGTGTAGCAAGGAGCTCTGCATTGTGCAGGCCCAGAAACCTCTTGGAACACAGACAAGTCCCCAGTCTTCCTCCTCTCACAGCCCCTCCAGGCTTAAAGCCTCAGGTTGGGAGCATCTGTCCTGAGCCCAACAATCCCTTCCTGAATGGGTTCCAGGCCCAGCCCATTTCATGCTTGGTCCTTGAGGAGGTCTAGATTGGATAAGTGAACTACAAACCTGAAAAACTAGTCTCCCCCAGGTTTACCTCCTATATTTTCTTTTACCCAAGTGGTAAAGGTTTAAGGGGAGGAGGCTAGTGAGATTTTCTTTCTGTAAATCAGACTGACTTTCCATGAATCAGGAACCTTGCAGAACCAATAAGAATATAATGTAAGCCAAATGTGTAATTTTGTTTTCCACTAGCTACATTTTTTTAAATGAAAAGAGGGCTGGGGGTGTGGCTAGGAGAGGAGAGGTAAAGGGCATGAGGCAAGCATGACACCCTGAGTTCAAAACCCCAGTACCAGCCCACAAAGAGAGAGAGAGAGAAAAAAAGAGCAGATGAGATGAATTTAACAATATATTTGTATTTAAACTACTATTTTCAAAATACCATTTCAACTCACAATCAGTATTACATTACTGAGAATTTGCATTCTTTTGAAATAAGTCTTTGAAATCTAGTGTATATTTTATACTTGCAGCATGTCATTTCCATTTAGATTATCCAAATTCCAAGTGTTTACTAGCACCCATGTCTTAGGACTACTGAAATCTATAGCACAGCTCTAAAGATAACAACAAAAAGAAATTGTAATAGGATTCATGGGCCCTTGGTTTATACAACTTACGCATTTGAATTTTTATATATTGGATGATCTTTAAACACGATGTAAGCCAGGTGTAATGATGCATGCTTTCCTAATTCCAATAAGGCAGATGTATTGAAAGTTCAAAGCCAGCCTGGGATACATAGTGAGACCCTGTCTAAAAAAAAGTCTAAATAAATAAATGGAATGAGGGCATAATTTAGGGATTTTGTTGAAATTTGCAACTGTTTCGGAGGGCCAGAGATTAGGAGATTCCAAATATGCTCCAATGAATTGGTATAATGAGTGATAGGTTTTTATGTGCTTTGGTGTGTTTATGTGGGTGTGTGGTGTGGGTGTGCCTGAGTGTGTGTGGATGGGTGGGTGTATATACATACATACATGTGTATATGACATACACACGTCAAATCTAGAGTAGATCTAGAGTAGAGTAGACTGTGCATCTTTAGATGTATCTATGTATAATGGTGTTAGAATGCAGACCTTAAACCAGGAAAATGGGAGGTCAGAGCCCCAGAGAACATTTTGGGCAAGATAGGGTGGAGGCATGTGCAGGAAAAAAAACTGATCTCAGTAACTAGAGGATCAGGCAGTGGGAGGAGGCTGGTTGGTCTCCCCAGAAACAGGCATGGCAACTCTCATTGGCTACTGGCTGCCATGGAAACAGCAGAGCCTCAGCATCAGGTGCATCTGCCAGGTAGCTTCAATCTGACTTGATGCCTGAGTGCAGATTAAGTCTACTGCCTGGACATGACTGTGTACACCTCCCACTTACAAAAACACAGTTTCTTGCAAGTTGTACAGCCTTCATCAGAACTCAGTGCAAACAAGCAGTATCAAATCTTGATCCTCACATCTGCCTGGAACCCTGAGATCAACTCAGTTTCAGGACAAGATTAGTCATATACAGTTGGAAAGCCCTGACAGAACAACATCTGAAATCTCTCCAAAGTAGGCTCTAAAGCGCCTTGATTTTCAGAGGTTGGAGGGAAGGAAACTGACCTTGTCTTCCAAAGTACATAAACAAGAGGTGAACCTAACACTACACTGGACATCACCAGACCTTAGTTCCAGACTGCCTTTCTAAGCCAAATAGAATAGACCTGTGACAAGCACATCTGATCACCACTATCTCTGCACCACATCTCAATCAGAATTACAGAATTAACATAATGATTCTAAGCCATCTATGATAAATTGCAGAGGGCAAAAGGGAAGGGTAAATTAACACATCTGAAATTAGAGAAAAAACTGAGAAACTATAATGGGTAAAGGACTGACAATGCTTCAGGTGATCTGTACCTAAAGAGTAGAGCATGATGGGAGAGACGTGTGGAAAGGAGACTAAATGCTTACCCAGAAGGTATAATCACCATGTTGAGAAAGCATATTGGTAAAGAGAGGGACTATGATCATTGTAAAAGGGACAACTCAGCCCTACTCCCAACTCCAGAGCCACAGGGCCAGGGGACAGTGGCAGTGACAAAGGAGAGGCCAGATAATACTCTTCTATACTAGAAGAGGTAGGATTAAATTAGAGGGCTGACAGTAGAAAGGGGAAAAGAGGGGGTAGCTGAGAACAAGTAGGTTGGGGAGAGGTGAAACTGCTTGGACAGGATCAAGGTAACAGGATAGCACCCTGAACCCCACCGGAAGGCGTGTGACTCCAGGGGGCTCTGGAGGCCTTGACAACAGAAGAGTGCGGACTGCAAAGCAGGCAGTAGGCATTACTGAAAATTCCAAGAGGTACTACAGAGTACATGCTAAATGGAGGAAGGCTCCAGTTTCACTGGGGCAAAGAGCAGGACAGCAATGGAATAACAGTTCAAGCAGCACCTGGCCCTGAGGCTGGAAGAAGGAAGTGTTACTACGGTATTCAAGGACAGAAAGGTGTGAGAGAAGCTGGAAGGTGTGATAACAGCAAACAGCTCAGGTCTGAAAGGGGAAACTAAAGGGGATGGTGGCCTGGCCTGCCTGGGAGGGGAGCAGCAGGCAGAGCAAGGAAGGTTGAGGACTCCAGAGGTGAACTCACAGCAGGAGAATATGGTAGGAGTATGGGGAGAGGGATGGAGCATCTGAGCAAGTGCTTATTTAAAATGGGGGAAGACTTTCTAATTTCTTATCCTTGGGGCCTGACAGGGCAGCAGATGCTCTCCTAAAAGCAGTGGCAGCCAGCAGTGTCGCTGAGAAGGCTGTGGAGGCAGCACGGATGGCCAAACTGATAGCCCAGGACTTACAGCCCATGCTAGAGGCCCCAGGTAAGGTATGGGCATCCTAGGGAAAAGAAAAGCCTCTGGGGATCTAGAGAGGTTCATGCATGAAGAAGGGGTGGGAAGCTCCCTAAGGTTTTAGGGACTGGGAAAGGTCAAAGGGTAGAGGGTAGGGTCAAGCCTAGTTGTCTGGGGAGTGGTCCTGGGAACTTAGGAGTTAGGGTGATGGGAGGTTTGGAGTACCAAAGTCCTGAAAGATACTTATCAGGGTAAAGCTTCAAGCTTTCTAAGTCTCCAGTTATTGAGGCCCCACTGATTCTTAGCTGTTCCTGCCTAGGCCGCAGACCCAGGCAGGATTCAGAAGGTTCCGACACAGAGCCCTTGGATGAGGACAGCCCTGGGGTTTACGAGAATGGACTGACCCCCTCAGAGGGCTCTCCTGAGCTACCCAGCAGCCCTGCCTCCTCCCGCCAACCTTGGCGACCCCCTGCCTGCCGCAGTCCACTGCCTCCTGGAGGAGACTGGGGTCCCTTCTCCAGCCCCAAATCTTGGCCTGAGGAGTGGGGGGGGCCAGGCGAACAGGTAGAAGAACTAGCTGGCTATGAGGCTGAGGACGAGGCTGGAATGCAGAGGCTAGGGCCCAGAGATGGATCCCCACTCCTGGGAGGCTGCAGCGACAGTTCAGTAAGCCTTCGAGAGGAGGAAGGGGAAGATGAAGAGCCCTTGCCCAAGTTGAGGGGCCCAGGGGGCTTGGAGTCTGAGCCTGTCACCACACCGGTCCTGAGGGACCCATCCTCAAGGGGTCCTGATGCTGGGTGCCTGACCGAAGAGTTGGAGGAGCCTGCTGCAACTGAGAGGCCTGCCCAGCCGGTGAGATACCCCTTCTTCCCCTCTTCGTGCCCTCTTTTTAAAGCTTTGCCTCCCACTCTTTTTAGACCTCTGTCTGATCTCCTGGGGGGGCTTTAATTTTGACTCAGCTTGCTCTGCCTGGTCAGCTTTGGACAATATCCCACTTCAAAAAACAGGAAACTTTCAAGCTGGAAAGAACCCTAGAGACCTTCAAGTCCAACACCCTCATATGATAGTGGGGAAACTGAGGTCCAGAGCACTTAAGAGTGTCTTGCCCCTGGTTACAAACTAATAATTAATGGTAGAATCAGAACATTTTTTTTTCCTGTTCCCTTTCCATATCATTTTCAGCTCCCAGTTTCCTACTCCACCCCCACCCCCACCTCCGCACTTTCTGTCTTTGGTGCCCAGAAATAAAAAAAGGAAAAAAATTGTTCCCTCCCTACCCTCACTCTCCCTCCCTCTCTGGGAAGAAGAGAAATGGAGGAGTGGAGAGAGCAGAAAACTGAGAAAGGTGGAGTTTCCTCAGAACTCTCTGCTCTGATTGGTCTGGAGCCTTCTCCTGTCTCCTAGCAACCACATCCTCACCCTTCATCCCTCTGCCTTACTGCAGTATGGGCTGCTGCTGCCAATGTCTGCTACTAAGGCCAGGCACCTTCTGCCTTGCCCACATGATGTGCTGGTGGGAGGAGAATGGTGGGGGAAGGGCTGTCCCTATCTTGAGAGTACCAGAGCAAAGGTGGGGCCCTGCCTGGGAGAAGAGAGATGTTTTGCAATCTGAAACAAAGATCAGAGACTGCCCTGCTCTCTGGCTATACACAGAGGTATACAGGGCCCTTCAGCTTTGCCAACAAAGCCAGGGCCAGTAGGTGGAACTTAGCCCAGACTTGGTCTTCAGGGACTGAGACTGCTTTTCCCTGTCTCTCTCTAGGGAGCTGCCAATCCCCTGGTGGTGGGAGCCGTGGCCCTCCTGGACCTCAGCCTGGCATTCCTGTTCTCCCAGCTCCTCACCTGAGGCGACTTCTTGGCCTCTTTCTGGCTTGGTCACCTGCCTCTCTACCCCCTTTGACCTGCCTTTTTCTCTTTTCCTCCTCCTGGTTGTGTTTTCTCCTATCTTTCCTTCTCTCCATCTTTTCTTTTCTGAGCTCCTTTATTTTTGTCTTACTTTTTCCCTTTCTTCTTTTGGAGTATCTCATTTATTCTGGATCTGTCTTCCTTGCTCCCTTCTCCACCCCATCCCCTTCTTTCTCTAGATTGTTTACATATGAAGGGCTTTTCTCTCTCAGAGTTGCTTTCTTCTCTGAGGCATACAAATCTAAGTCAGACCATTGCCCCCATGCCCTCCCCAACTTTTCTTTAAACCTAAACTTTGATGAGGGTGGGGGGTTGGTATCCTGAGGAGTCTCCTGAGTGGAGGAAGAAAATAGAGAAGGATTAACTGAATGCAGGACTAGGTACTAGCTGAGCCCCTGTAGTTTCCTGGCCCAAATGAAAAGCTGGAGGAGCCATCTTTACCCTTACCTTGGAGGATTTTATCTCACCTCCCAGGACCCAGTTAGGTTCTTGCCTAAATTGAACCTTTTCTGGGGAGTAAAGGGAAGTGTACAATGGAATAAACTCCCTAGACTTTCCCTTTCTTTCCTCAGTAGCCAATCCCTCTTCCGAACCCCAAGGATGGCCACTGAGGATGCCATGGCATGCCAAGAGCAATGTGTAAAGGAACAAAAGTATTCAATACAGCCAAGCCCACCCCTCTCAGATTCTACCACTGACCTCTATGCTTCTGTGGTCTGGACTCACTTGTGGCCTTTGATTAAATTCCTAAGGGGCCAGAAGAAGACACATCTACTGCAGAGGGTTAGAGGCATTGAGCCAGGGCACCATTCCCAGCTCTGGTGGCTGTGGTGGGGAAGGCATTTCTGAAAGATGGACCCAGGAATGATAAGAGAAGCTGGATGGGCAGCAGCAGCAGCTGTGGCAAGTCTACTAGTCTCCAAATGGGTTTCCCCCATCACGTTAAAATCTGGCGAAATGGGAAAACAACCTAGAAAGGATCAAAGGAAGCTGATGTCTCCAACACTACACTTCCCAGACAGGGCAGAGGTGGGAGTCAAAGATCAGAAGAGAGGTCTTATTTGAAGGTGTGTGTACCAGGATGTGGCTGATCTCTGGTACTAGCTTTTCCCCTGGGGACAGGAAGCCCTAGGACAAGGGACTGTAGAGTCCCCAGGGGAACATTTCTCCCTCCCCTGCATGAGGCAGAGGCCAGCTGCCTGCCAACCCCCTCCCTCACGGAATGGCCCAGCCCAGGAATGCCCACCATACACACCCACTTCTTTTTTTTCTAGTCAAAACTCTGTTAACTCCTTGGCCTGCCTCCCTCCTTCCTCCCCTCTCAACCTTTACTTCTGATTTCTATTTCATGGAATTTGGGATTGAAGTTATACAACAGTGCCGCCAACACCAAGTCTTGCAGGAAAAAAAAATACAAAGAAATTTAACAAAAAAAATATATTAATAAAAAAGTTCAAAAAAAAAAGGGGTGGGAGATTGTCATCTCCTTTGGAGTGCGATGGTTTCAAACCCAAGCTCTCTGGGCTCTCCAGATGGTGTGGGGGTAACAGGAAGCCTCGGGGGGGGGAGGGGAGAAGGGGGGCTGTAGGCCTGCTGTCCCACCAGCCTAAAGGCTATTTAAGACAGCATTTTCCCCAATGCGCCAAAGCCTGGGGCTGAAGGTCAGAGGACTCCAGACGGCTCCGTAGGGCGACCCAGGCAGGGCGGGGCCCCGTGGTATGGGCGGGGATAAGGAAGGACACGACCAAGCCCAACCCCCCCGACCAGCCCCAAACCAGGAAGCGCTGGGGGGTAGTGGAGCGGAGTAGAGAACGAAGCCAGGTGAGGCGTCCCGGGGCGGGGAAACTGGTGCCGTCCCGACCTGCGATTGCGGGGCGGGGTCGCGCGGGAGTCATCGCGCGGGGTCCTGGGAGGAAAGGATTGGCAGAGTTGAGGATGGGATACCAGGTTCGGGAAGGAAAGGGGGAAGAAGAAATAGGCGGGGCTCTGGCGCATGCTCCGCGGGAACAGGCGTGGGCGCCTAGTCGGGGACGCATGCGTAGTGGGGACTCTTTTTGGGCGTGAGATGGGGATGAGATGTGAGACCTAGGTGGGGCCAGCGAACGTGGGTTCACTTTCAAGCTAGCGGGTGGGTTCCGCGTCCTTGAGATCTTTGCACAGGGCAGGGTTCGGCCATCTGCGAGAAAGGGATAAAGCCCTTCCCACTCCCGGGCGCTGCCCGCAGGATGGTGGGCCCTTCGCTGACGCTTCAGGACCTCATCGAGGAGATTCGCGGGGCCAAGACACAGGCCCAGGAGCGGGAAGTGATCCAGAAGGAGTGCGCCCACATTCGGGCGTCCTTCCGCGATGGAGACCCTCTGCAGAGGCACCGCCAGCTGGCCAAACTGCTCTACGTCCACATGTTAGGCTACCCCGCCCACTTTGGACAGGTACCAGCCCCCAGATACCTTGTTCTGGAGCTTGAGGAACACTAGTGGGACATGGTCATGGACCCCCTTGTGCCCCGTGTTTTCGTTCTACAACTCCTGAACCCTCACACTGTACTATGAAACACCCCTCCACCCCCCCTTTTTTTTTCGGTTGTGGGGCTTGAACTCTGGGCCTGGGTACTGTCCCTCAGCTCTTCAGCTCAAGGCAAGCACTGGACCTCTTGAGCCACAGCGCCACTTCTGGTTTTCTGGTGGTTAATTGGAGATAAGAGTCGCATAGACTTTCGTGCCTGGGCTGGCTTTGAACCTCGATCCTCAGATCTCAGCCTCCTGAGTAGCTAGGATTACAGGCATGAGCCACCAGCGCCTGGCCCTGAAAACCTTTTTACAGCCCATTACAACCTTTATTGGTCAGCTGCCCCCAAACCCTTTATTTTCTGGTTAGCTCCGTGGAGGGCACCTCCTCGCTTCTCCCATCCTCCACTCCTAGATCCTTGAAACCACCCACTGGTGCCTGAATCTCCTAAGCTTCTCTGGTTGAGGAGAGAGTGATGGGATGTGGTGCCCCGCAACCAGATGTGAGGGAGGAGAATGGAACAGGGATGTTAGTGGCTCTGGTTTCACCCCTGCCCTTCTGGGTCTACTCCCCTTCCCTGTAGATGGAGTGCCTGAAACTGATCGCCTCCCCCAGATTCACAGACAAGAGGGTGGGCTACCTGGGGGCCATGCTTCTATTGGATGAGAGGCACGATGCTCACCTGCTCATTACCAACAGCATCAAGAAGTGAGAGGGTTCTGGGTCACTTGAAATCAGGGAGATGGGAGAGTGGGGCATTGTAAAATTCTAAGGGCCTGCCTGGTGCAGATGCTGGGAAGAACGAGATTTCTCAAGAGGCACAACTAACCATCCTCCCAACCCTGCAGTGACCTAAGCCAAGGGATTCAGCCAGTACAAGGCCTGGCCCTGTGTACTCTGTGCACCATGGGCTCTGTTGAAATGTGCCGGGATCTGGCCACGGAGGTGGAGAAGCTGTTCCTACAGCCCAGCCCTTATGTGCGCAAGAAGGTGAGATGCACAACTCTTGCCTCTCTGGAAACTTCCCTGGTCTGCCATACAGTGAAGTTGAGGAGTCCAACCTGTTGGACCTCCCTGCTCTGTCTGAGGCCTCTGACCTCTGCAGGCTATTCTGACTGCAGTGCACATGATCCGGAAGGTCCCAGAACTTTCCAACATCTTCCTGCCACCTTGTGCCAAACTGCTTCATGAGCGCCACCACGGTAAGGCCATAGGGCTCCCCATACTCTGCTTTAGGTCTGGCCATAGACCAGAAGCAAAACACAGGTCAGGAGCACCAGCTCATAGGACAAGGTTAGCATACACACAAACATACATGCAGTTGACACTCCCAGGCCCCAACCTACCATTCACCTCCCCTCCCTGACCCCAGGCGTCCTGTTGGGTACCATCACGCTGATCATGGAGCTCTGCGAACGAAGCCCTGAAGCCCTCAGGCACTTTCGAAAGGTGGGCTGGTGAAGGGGCAGGCCCTGGGCCTGGTAAAGATATGGGTAGTGGGAGAGGAATGGGGGGACTTAATGTTGAGAGGAAGAGGAGGAATGCCCAGGCAAGGATATGGGCCTCCCTCTAGGTGGTACCCCAGCTGGTACAGATTCTCCGGACTCTGGTGACAACAGGATACTCAACAGAGCACAGCATATCTGGTGTCAGCGACCCCTTCCTGCAGGTGGGCTGAGCTTTTCTTGTTGTATCCCTGAAACAGAAGGCTTAGCAGTAACTCCATAGCCATTGGTCACCTCCCACAAAATACTCTGACTCAATGTCTTGAGCAGGAGAGTGACTTCAAGATTGCCATGGTCACCGGGTGCTGGTGGCTCACACCTGTACTCCTAGCTACCCAAGAGGCTGAGATCATGGTTTGAAGCCAGACCAGGCAGCAAAGTCTGTGACTCTTAGCATAAATAAGCCCCTCCTCCACAAAAAAGTCAGAAGTGGAGCTGTGGTTCAAGTGTTAGAGCATTAGCCAAGCTTGAGAAGTTCCAGCCAGCCAGGCAGAAAAGTCTGTGAGACTCTTATCTCCAATTAACACCAGAAAACTGGATATGGAGCTGTGGCTCCAAGAGGTAGAGCGCTAGCCTTGAGTGAAAGAGCTTAGGGAAAGAGCCCAAGCCCCAAGTTCAAGCCCCACAACTGACAAAAGTATATTAATTTTGCTGGGAAGGTGGCTCAGTGGTAGAGCATTTACCTTGCATGCATGAGGCCCTGGGTTCTATTCCTCAGCACCCCATAAGCAAAAAGAAAAAATCCGGAAGTGGTGCTGTGGCTCAAGTGGTAGAGCGCTAGCCTTGAGCTGAAGAACTGAGGGACAGCTGGGCGCTGGTAGCTCACGCCTGTAATCCTAGCTACTCAGGAGGCTGAGATCTGAGGATCGCAGTTCAAAGCCAGCCCTAGCAGGAGAGACCGTGAGTCTCCTATCTCCAATAAACCACCAGAAAACTGGAAGTGGCGCTGTAGCTCAAGTGGTAGAGCGCTTGCCTTGAGCTGAAGAGCTGAGGGACAGCGCCCAGGCCCAGAGTTCAAGCCCCACGACCAACAACAACAAAAAAAAACAAAGAACTGAGGGACAGCGCCCAGGCCCAGAGTTCAGGCCCCACGACCAGACCCAAAAAAAAAGTATATTAATTTTTTTAATGAAAAGAAGGGAAGAGAACAATATAAAAAGCCTATCCTAAACCTGCCTGGCCTTATATTCCTGACACTGGGACCTATAGAAGTGAGAGGCAGGGGCAGGAGGCTCTAGGGACTAGCCAGACCAACCCTTCACAATGCCATCTTCAACATTAGGTTTTTCTCCTCATCCCACAACTCTTGGTCCTGTGAACCCCCCTCTACCTTTTCATCTTTAACCCACCCTCAGGTCCAGATACTTCGTCTACTTCGGATCCTGGGCCGGAACCACGAGGAAAGCAGTGAGACCATGAATGATTTGTTGGCCCAGGTGGGAGCTGGGTGCAGGGACACAACCTCAGCATATCGCTCTGGGTCTACTCACTCAGGCTGCCTTCACATGACCACTCAACCACAAAGCAGCTGTATGAATACCCCTCTCCCCCTCCACCCCAAGCCAGTGAACTCCAGGAAGGAGAGACACAGTGTGTTGTCATGCTATTGCCCTCTTCCATGTCTGGCCCTGGCATGTAATGGGTGTCAGGGAACTCTGTTAGATGATGGATAGAAGAAATGGTAGGTGAGAACAGAGCCTTGCATAAATGCATCTGCTCTCCCATTGTACAGGTGGCCACCAACACAGACACTAGCCGAAATGCGGGCAATGCAGTCCTGTTTGAGACAGTGCTCACAATCATGGACATCCGCTCTGCAGCTGGCCTACGGGTATCCCACCTTGTGCTTTCTCAGGACCCTCATCTCCACCCCCTACTCCCAGCCAGACATAGGCCTGGGCACTGGCTTTTCCCTCATCCCTAGTTTGTGCTCTTGTGCTGTGTAGTCTCCTCCTGGATGAGCAGATTGCTTCTTCTCTGACTGTCCCCACCTTCTGGCCCTTGTAGGTTCTAGCTGTCAACATTCTTGGCCGCTTCCTGCTCAACAGTGATAAGAACATTAGGTAATGTTCATCCTCAATATCTGGCTAGGTTGTACCACTGACCCTCTGCATTTCTCCCTCCTGATCCCACGCCTTCTTACTCCTGGTCTGGGTACAGGCAAGGATACTGGGGCAGGTGGCTCTGTGCGTGATAATGCCTTTCTACCTTGACCAGGTACGTTGCTCTGACATCATTGCTGCGTCTGGTGCAGTCAGATCACAGCGCTGTACAACGGCATCGGCCCGTGGTGGTAGAATGTCTGCAAGAAACTGATGCCTCCCTCAGCCGGTGAGCAGAGGTATAGGGGATAAAAAAGGCTAAAAAGAATCACTGCCTGGACAAAAGG